TGGCTTTATTTGTCTTTAATTTTGTTAAAAGTCTTTTAAAGTTTTTATTTGTATTTCAAAGTGTTTTTTGTCTTTAAAGTTTTTAAAAGTCTTTTAAACTTTTTATTTGTCTTTTAAGATTTTTATTTGGTTTTAAAACTCATATTTTTGTGAATTATAAGTTTTTGGCTGTGATTGAGTCAAATGGCTTCCTGTTGTTCTACACGGTTTCCTGCTGTTGTACGTCTACAAGTTTGTTTATTTGTTTTTGAAGTTACTATTTACTATTTCATCAATTTAATTTTTTTTGATTGTGATTGATTCAAATGATGAATGGCATCCTGCTGTTCAACCTGGCTTCCTGCTGTTCTACGTCTACAAATTTGCTTTTATTTGTTTTTCAAGTAGTTTATCAACTTAAGTTGGGGGTTGTGATTGAGTCCAGGGGTTCAGGGTTTCCTTGAAATGCCGTCCCCACATGCATTCGAGCGGTGCAGTGGTGTGTCGTACAGTAGTAGTACAAGTAATAGCACAGTAGTAATGCAGTAGTACAATAGTAGTACCGTAATTAGTAGTACAGTAGCAGTGCAATAGTAGTACAGAAGTACAGTAGTAAGAGGGTAGTAGTAAAGTGGTAGTACAGTAGGGGTACATTACGAGGGTGTGGGAGTACCTGGAGCTGTTTAGCGGGGTGTGGGCACCAAAATCCAAGCCTCGATCACTCCAAGATACCAACATTAAAAGCCTTTCATGTTGAAAATTTTTCGTCCGGCCTACACTCCTCTACAGCAGTGCATTAGTATTGTAATAGTACAGTAGTAGGACAGTCGTAGAAGAGAAGTACAATCAATCAGTCGGCCCAACAAAGAACGCACTAATCATTAATTAAGCCACCGTTTTTTTGATACAGGCCCGAATAAGCACAGGAAACACGCATCAACTAGGCACACCGGACCAGAAGGACCCTCACGTGTTAGTGGGGTGATGCTATTAGTCAATTTCAGTATTCGCATGCGTTTGGCATGTTGCTACTTGTTTGTGTTTGCTTGGTGACTGTTTTGTGCAAGTCTGTTGTTGTGTGTCTTGCCCAGCCCCCCAGCCCCCCAGCCCAAGCCCCCCAGCCCCCCAGCCCCCCAGCCCCCCAGCCCCCCAGCCCCCCAGCCCCAGCCCCCCAGCCCCCCCCCAGCCCCCCAGCCAGGCCAGCCAGCCCCCCAGCCCCCCAGCCCCCCACCCCCCCAGCCCCCCAGCCCCCCAGCCCCCCAGCCCCCCAGCCCCCAGCCCCCAGCCCAACCCCAGCCCCAACCCCAGCCCCAGCCCCAGCCCCAGCCCCAGCCCCAGCCCCAGCCCCAGCCCCAGCCCCAGCCCCAGCCCCAGCCCCAGCCCCAGCAGCAGCATTTAATCATGAAGCCTTTTCTGCAAGATCGGCCCGGCAAAATCTTAGAAGACATTTGTGGCACTTGTGGCACGCACCGGAAAAATCTGATTAAATTTTATTGAATTTTATTAGATCTTATTGAGTCTTATTGAATCTTATTGGTATTTTTAAAAGGGACACCGACTGACCGCCCCCAAAAATCTTATTGAATCTTATTGAAGCTTAGAAGACATCTGTACAATTGTGGCACGCCCCGCAAAAATCTTATTGAATTTTATTGAATCTTATTAAATCTTATTGAATCTTATTGAATCTTGTTGCTAAGCCCTGTTGATCCAAACTTTGTGGTTTTGGCTTGTTGCGAATTTATGATTTTATCCTTGGAAGGAAAGGTGAGAGACGAATAGTACTAAATTCCAAGTCACTGAACTCAACCTACAGAAGCCCAAATGAAATACAAGAATTTCCAAGCATAATATGATTAAGGGCTCCAGGATTTATTATGTTAAAGTCAACAATAAACAAAAGGAATGGAAACATGAAGTGGTTTTTATTTTGCTTTATTTCAATGCCATTCCACTAATAAGAAGACAAAATAAAGCATGAAAGAAGCAAAATAAACCACATGACATTGCATTTCTAAGGTAAACAGCTGATGTAGGTTAAACAAAGGAGAAAATCTTCAATGTCCCAGATCCTCGTTTCGTTCTATTAAAACAAAGCGTGCTTCCACTCTGTTCCATTACCTTTGTTCTAATCTCACTTCTCTTAAATCGCAAATATTCGCCTAACGGTTTTGGGGGATCACCAAAGGCTGGAAACCAAAAGCCCCGATCACTCCAAGATACTACCAACACTAAAAACTGTTCATTTTGAAGACGTTTGCCTCCAACCTACACTCCCCTCCACAATCGACCACGTCTGAGGCCTGGTACGGTACAGTGGTAGTACAGTAGTAGTACAACAGGGTAGAGTAGTACAATAGTAGTACTGTAGTACGACAGTCGTACAGTAGTAGTTACAGTGCAGTACGAAGGTTTAGGGGTACTTGGAGCTGTCTAGCGAGGTTTGGGGACGACCAAGAGTCGAAGCCAAGCCAGGGTCACTCCACAAAAACTACCAAAACTGCAAACCTTTCACTGTGAAGACTTTTGCCTCCAACCTACACTCCCCTCCACAATCGACCACGTGTGAGGCCTGGTGCGGTGCGGTGGTGTGTCGTGCAGTAGTAGTACAAGTACTAGCACGGTAGTAATGCAGTAGTAGTACAGTAGTACAATAGTAGTACCGTCGTAGTACAGTAGCGGTGCAATAGTAGTACACAAGTATACTTGTAAGAGGGTAGTAGTAAAGTGGTAGTACAGTAGTATTAAAGTAGTTGTACAGTAGTAGTACAGTAGCGGTACAGTACGAGGGTGTGGGAGTACCTGGAGTTTAGCGGGGTTTGGGCACGACCAAAAACCCGAAGCCACGATCATTCCAAGATAGCTACCAAAACTGAAGCCCATGCATTTTGAAGACTTTGGCACCTTGCCTTTCAGCCATTACCCTTAAAGCCTATACCATGGTACTCTGCCTTCTAACCCTGATACTTTGGCACTCGGCCGTCTAACCCCAAACCCTAAAGACCTTGAAACTTTAAACCCAGTGCCAGGTCTTCTTCATCGTCGTCTTCTTGGACGAAATTTAAAAATGTAAAAAAGCAATTTTTTGTCTTTTAAAGTTTTTAAAAATCTGTTAAAGTTTTTCAAAGTCTTTTGAAGTTTTTAAAAGTCCTCTAAAATTTTTTAAAGTCTTTTCAAAACATTTTTAAAAGTCGTGTAAAATTTTTAAAAGTCTTCTAAAGTTTTCAAAAGTCTTGTAAAATATTTAAAAGTCAGTTGTGTCGAAAAAGCCCAGTGGATCTAAACCTTGTGGTTCTGGTTCGGTGCAAACGGCCAATGAAACAGTCCCAACTCCGGCAGCAACCCGGACGTCAACGAAATGGTTGGACAATTTGCTCAAGTTGCACAAAGAAGCGTTCAACACCAAGTCGGCGACCCTGCAGAAGCTCACCAAGGAGGCCACTAGAGGAGTTCTACCCGCATTGGATCGTACACTCGTTGACTGGGAGCTCACAGTCACCGTTGCTTCCAAATTGAGCGAGAACAACCAACTTCGCATCTTTGCTATGACTTCTGTGCTCGGGACAATTTCAACCCGCAGCCGCACTTCCGGCTCCTTCATCCTGAGGCCCTCCCGGCCGGGACCAGCTTGGTTGTAGACCCACCGTCTCACATGATCAGACGGACGATTTTGGCTTCCAAGGTTCCATGCATCTGCCTTGTCTTCGGCTATCCATTTCATGACCCGTTGCCATATAGGCTAAGGGTAAGAAGAGCCATACCCGCGTCGTTCTGCAGTGGCCTCACTTTCCTGATGCTCACTCCGGATCGTCAACCTTGCCTTCTACATCGCATACCTCTTTGGTGGGGGACGGACCATTTCGTCTCGCTACAAGCTCGCATTTTTCCAGCTGCTTGGACCATCCCCACGGACCGGTTCAACGTGATCCTCGCCGTCAACCCCCCCATAGACGTTTCCCTCCGGCGTCGCATACACGACCTGATCGGCAACGTTCTACGGCTTCCCCGGCCAGCTCCGGAACTAAGGTCTACGACGAAGAGATCAACAACCACCTCGCCGAAGATGTGCTCACCAACAAAGCTATATTCCGATGCATCCTCATCTTCAACTACGAAATTCGCCTGAGGCTAGCAGTGGTCCGCACGGATAGAGACATGGAGCGAGAGGCGCAAGCAGCGGAGCAGCCCAATCAAGTCGCGGGAGGCGACTTCGAAGAGATCGAGAAACTAATCACACCGCAGGTCGTCTTCCCTGCCAGTATTTAAATCACGTGCATGACCAGGGCCACGACAATGGATATGCAGCTGATCCGCGCCCCGCACTACCCGGCAGAAAGCGCACACAGTCTTCGACGCCTTCGACCCAAGCTACATGCGACTCACCCACTCTGCTCGTTTCCCGTCCGAAACCTACTTCATCGCGCAGGACTACAGCTTTGGACGAACGTGCAGTCGTCACCAAGGGAGGCCGTGCCATTGATCCGCGGCGAGTACCAATAGCCGCCTGCAGCAGCGACGCTTCCTTCAATGAGGTTCATGTGTGTGGGGAACCCAAACTACAACGGGAGTCATCTTCGCGTTTAACATGCAGCAGGGGGTGGCAGGTGAGAAGGAGTGCTGGCGCCAACGAAGACCGCTCTTGTTTCTCGTGATGGGCTCGTGGACTCACGAGCCTGTACCTGCCATTCAGCTTGTGACATATGATCGTATACGCTGTGCATGGTACCATCCTTTGACATCCTCGCTGTGCAATGCTTCCACTTCGTCTGCCTTGATAAAGAGTGAGATTCAGGTGAAAGGTAACAAGTGTTCCTTGGCTTCTTTCATTATCACATGCCAGTAAGGAGACCCGAGCCTATTGAGAGACCTCCGTCAGCTCTTTTTTGATGTTTCAGTTGAGTTCCTGAACGCATTGCTCAGTTGTGTGTGTGTGTGTGTGTCTGTGCGCGTGTGTGTGTGTGCGCCTGTGCGTGCGTGCGTGCAGTGCATGTTCTGTTTGGTTGAAGCAGCCCCACATGCAGGTGGTGCCACAGAGGGATCGCTATCTTCGAGAGTCCCTGCAGTGGGGCTCTTGTTGTGGCATTTGATCCCCGGGCTTGTGACTTTGAAGACACTGCCGTCACATCTGAATCGACATCGCTGACAAAGCAAGGTTGTTCTCTCAGTTCTGTAACATCATTGGTTCTTTGGAAGTGCAGCCAAGTGCTCAGAGGAAGACTGCTGACTGATCCGATTAGACTGAGGGGATTAATTGGGCAAAGGCCGCGTGCAATTCATCACGGGTCCGCACTTGGGCTCGATAGGATCGCAAGACAGACTTGGTTTTGCCCTGCAGCATGTCGACCACAGAAGGCTCACACAGCGGTCACTTCATAACTGCTTCGCCGGGAATAGTCTCAGTAAGGTTTGCCACGAAATTTGGCCCGTCTGATCACTCTACGCCCAATGCGCCCGGAGCTCATCAAGATTTCGATTTGTACCACGTGCTGAGATTTCCAGAACCCCTGAAGTCGAAAGCATGCGACTGACGAATAGCCCGAACAGAAGACAATCATTTCGAGCAGAAGCTTTTCGCAGCCTCGGTGCTCGTCTACTCAGCCGAAGCCGGTTGCCAGCATCTGAGCCGTTCTGCGATAGCTGCTTCTCTCCGACACTGCAGGACACACCAGGCCTTGAATGCAATGGCCTCTCGTGGTGCAGGGCTCTACGGTGTCTTTCTGAAGGCACGCTGCTCAGAACACACGTGTCCGTGGATGTGCAGTAGGTATCACGGCTTGGTTGACATTTGCAAGGGCATTATCGACAAGATGGATGCTGATGCGTGCACCGTGACCTGCCCTTAGACTGACTTGGGGTGTTTTGAAACTTTGCCGACCTCATAAATGCTGAGGCCTAGACCACTGCCAGTGGAGACTGATGTTTACTCGTTGCGCTCGATGCTCAGAGATCCCACCGAACCTCTCCAAAACCTTGCCAAGCCCGAGAGGCTGCCCTCACACGGACAACCTACCAAAACCAGACTTCTCTCGGAAGCCCCAGATCGAAGCTCAAGCTCTGTTGAACACCAGCACTGCTCGGTACCCCAAACTTTCAGGCGAAAGGCCGTGTCAGGCTTGCAATCCAAACGGTTTTCGCTAGGATGACCAGCCTTGCAGATGTTTGGCTGCGCCAGCATAAGACTGCATCAGTCGGGCAACATGTGTGGCAGAGATTTCTCCCATTGCGTTGTCCTGCTGTCCTGATTTCTACGTTCCTCTTGATTTGATGGGCTTTCGCATCGATCGTTTATGGACTTTGCGCTGAGTCAGCCCCGGTCCCAGGTTACTACAAGGTCGTGCAGAACCGCACGGAGGAGTCTGTCTTATGGACATTTTGCAGCGTGGAGTCTGTCAGATGCCTACAGTGAGGTTTACGACATTGTGACTCGCGTCTTCCACCGGAAGGACGGCCCGAAGCCTCGTCCGCCTGCGAGAAGGTAACAGGAACCGCGTGATCGACGTGCCATGCCGAGGTTGGGAGGAACTCCCCCATGGACTGGGTCTCTCCAACGTGTCTGGATGGAACTATCCCAGACACTGACTTCAGTCAAGTCTCACCTTCAGTCAGGCATGGAACCTGTGCTGGACATGGAGCAAACCAAAGCTGGACTACTCTCGCCTGCTGCCGAGGGCAAGACTGCATTGGATTGAATATTGTACAAGGGGAAGTCAATCAAACAACACAGCCTTTCCGGCAGAGCTGCACAGCTCTTCGATCGCCCACCTGCCGCAAGATATATGATGCCGGCCCATCATATTCCCCCCCCCCTCGGTTTCCTGCGGTGTGGTTCCTACGCTCTTGCTCGGGCTCCTGGTCTCTCGGCTTCTTTGTCTCGTCCCACCCCTTGTGGGGTGGTGGCTGTGGTATGGCCGTCGCTCTGGTGCACTCGCGGAGCATTGTATTGACACCCGGCGCCTCCTCCACCTCGTGATTTGGGTCCCTGTTTTACAAATCAGGATTATGCGCCAGCTACTTATGCCATGATTGACATGGGAAGTTGCCTTGCATAAAACTTGCCAGCGACTATTGGCAGTTCGATGTCGTGATATCGATCCCATCCGCCGAAAGCGAGGACTGTCATGACCATCGTGGCCCCAATCAGCTCGATCCCAGTGATTGTTGTCACACACAGCCCAGGGAGGGGTCAATAGGGCAGATACCATGGGGGGTGGGGGGGTACTGTAGCAGCCCGGGACCCGAGACCACACATGGCCAGTGCTTATCCGAGTCGCTCGCTGGAGTTCAACGATCGTAGCCATAGAGGAACACACAGTCCGCCTCTCTGAGGTCTGTGTGTCTGGCAGAAGGTCAATCACTTTCCCGAGAACAAGCACTTGACGCGCAAGGATCGTTGCTTCAATGTGTTCGTGGCATTTTCACACGTCCACCATTTCCAGAAAATGTGCTTAGAGGACTTTCTGAAGCGATGCATCGACAGATACACGAGAACAGGCCGTGCCATGCAAGATCCATGGTCACAGACACTTCATGAACGGCAATCATGATGGAAACGTGCTCGAGTTTGCGGCCGGCATGAGAGCCATGTTTCGCTCGGAAGAGGTGGAAAGTTGGGTCAGTACTTCAACATCTGTCCGAAGACCTTCGTACTTCCGAAAGAGTGCGTGGCACAAGCTTAGCGGAACATTCGTCACAAGTCTGTAGCGATTCCGTCAGGTATTGCCTGTTCATTGAGTGCTTCACCAAGATCGCTGAGGAGAACGGGGATCTGGAGGGCAGTGAGATGCCGAGATTGTGTGGAAATACCACCAGTCACGTCGAAGAGTCGGATGGCTTCGCAAACCGACCACGATTGAAATCTGCAATGCGCGTGCTGAGGCATGCGGGAATGTCGTGCTTGCCGACACCAGAAATGGTCTAGTGAACAGTGTTCGTTATTGTTTTTTGCCGGGCTGGTTGCGTCCTCGTTTCTGTTCGGGTTGGAAGGGAATCGATGCTTGTTGCACAAAGCAGTCCCTTCGTCTAACCCAGTGGCCAGTGGCACCACGGCGAAACGAATGAGAGTGGACGGCAAACAGCAAACTATGTGCTGTTGCAAGGCTTCACATGAGAGGCCCCATGTCAAGCCCGAACAGGTTTGCAGACCTGAAAGAACATGTAGCTTAGGAGATCGTTGTTCTGTTTTTTCCACTGCATGTCCCCCCAGCGTGGTGTGTTTGTTTGACCAGTCGTTCCTCAAGCAATATCATGCTCGGTATCCGTGCAACAGTTTTGCGTGATCTGCCGAAGCAGCGGAAGTATTGCAATACAACAGTACGTCAACAAGCTGAGGTAGCCCTCCGTCTGGAGTCAAGGCAGGCCCCTGATGCCTTGCTAAAGCGTGTCTGACAAGATCAGTCCTCTGCAAGGTTCCGAACATGTGGATCATGAAACCTGCCGGCAGCAGTCGCGGCAGAGGAATTCAGGCTGGAGGGCTCTGCTGCGAGCCATGCCGGTCGCTTCCAGACCAGAAGCCATGCTCTACAGCCACGTGCAGCCTCCTCATCCAATCTTCCTGCAGGTTATCAACGATGTGAGTGCTGTCCACTACGGTGAGCTTACAATTATCCAGCCACTTGATTGCCGGGCGTGCAGGAGCTTCATCGCTTTTGTTGTACACCATGTGATCCCATGTGATCCCATGTCTTCCTGAGGCAATACATCAGTGATCCGTTCCTCTTGGGCGATTTCAAGTGGGAGTGGAGCTGAGCACGACTTGTACTTGTGCGTCTACAGTCACCCCTCTGTGCGAAGGACAAGAGGATGCACAAACATAGATTTAGTGGTGATTGGCGGAGGCTGCGGAGTGGTCAGATCTGAAGCCGGGCCGGGCCATGCCGATAGTCTTCGGAAGCGTCAGCTCATGCACGAGTCAGAATGCCGTCGGGAAGCTGCACACGCTTCGCTTTCAATGTGTGTGTGTGCGCATCCTAAACGAGGAGTTTCCGAGGGAAAGAAACCATACTAGCTGTGTGAAATTGTGCCCTCGGTTCCAAAAGACGGCGCCGGCTACGAACAGTGCACACCCTCTTCACAACACACTTGTCGAATTGATCACTGGGTGCGCAGTGCTCCCCCATCCCTCTGCGATGGATTCATGTGGTCCTCTGTTGGTCACGCCATGATTTTGCGCGACATCGGTGCTCGTCGCGGTAGCTTCCATCTCGGGGTGGATGCAAAGTGGCTGGACTCTGCTCCGCCCGTTCCCTGTTGCACGCGGGGCGTATGGTTGCACACTGTCACTTGGTTTTCAGATCTTTGGGATTGCTGGAGGCTGCATTCTGAGCATTTGTGCTCTGATCGCTCTGCGTCAGACCCTTTCGCTCTTCGCCACGGTGATGATACTTGTACAGACATGAGATGCGAGCTGCCCAAGAATGCGATATTTCCACGGTTCTGAGCTGCAGCCGTGGCGAGGGCCGCGCAGTCGCCAGCTCCCCAATATCTTCACTTGCTCAAAGGTGATGCGACCTGTCTGTTCGATACTTTGGTTTCGTTGATTCGCCTATTTCGCTTGCAGGCCTTGCAAAGTCATATTCAAAAGCAGTTGACAACTAGGGCGTGCACGTCGCACAGGTGAGAGCCTAGAGGTTGCACCCAGTGAGGGTCAAGTTTCGCATTGGCGTCTTCATACTGACGGAGCCTCTGTGAGAAGTGCTCCACGACCGTGGAAGGGGAACGGAGAGCACCAACCAGGGCAGGCCGAGAGCCGGCCGCGGCTCGCCCAAGCACACCTCCTCTAGATTCAACTCTAGAATCCTCGAGCAGATGGGAAGCGCCTGCAGATGCCTGCAGCAACACAGCGCGTGCTGCTTACATGCTATCGCTATCCTTCCTCATTGGGAACATTCCCCTTAGATTCGGGCGGTGAATGTGGGACGTGGAACTGAGGGCTCCAGGTAAATATGATTAATCTGAATCTGAACTATTGCCCTGTGCCGATGCTGGCACTGGCACCGGCTGCAGCTACCAGGTCCCTGTTCCCCCAGCCAAACAAAACGCTCCGGACGTGCCTACTCCGGTGGTGGTGCAGAGTCTGGAGTCATGTTGGGCGCTCACAGGTCCTGAAGGAATCTGAAGGGCAAGATTTCTTTAGGGCTCTTCGCCGCTCAGTAAACAGGCTGGCAGTTGGTGTTCGTCGACCACATCCCGTTAGCATGGTGCATGAATGAATGCAGTGAAGTGAGTTATTGCGGGATCTTGCACGGTTTTGTGTGCATAGATGCGTGAGCATAGCGCCTCAGCAACCGTTCAAATCTGTTGAGCCTGCGAGCATGTCGCTTCTCGTGGCCAAGGACATGCGCACATATGTGACCGTGACCTCTTTTAACCCGTTGGAGGCCAGATCGAGTATCGTCTGCTGTGAGTTGTATGAGCAGCGATCATAACAGGATAAAGTCATGGTCTGAGGCGTTTGTTTATAAAGATGGCTTCGCTCGATTCACAACGGTGCCGTACAACACCAGCTCCGATGATATTGACAACAAGTGCTGACCTAATTTGGTCAGTTGACCAAGTCAGACAAGACCAGTTCATGTTTGAACACCCGAGGTTCGTGCACTTGACGAACTCGTCTATACAAAGGACACCTTTTCGGTACAGTTTTCTTGGAGCATTGCCATCGACATGTTGACAGTGACATGTCACAGGCACAACGAAGAGCAGTTCATGCAGAATGATGACAACATCAAAGCCAGAGCCTCCAGAGACAACAACTGTGAATTTTGTTGACATGGAAAGCGGATGCTGACGCACATGGCACTGTCTGGGTCTTGCGTCTAATCGCAGCCCCGAGGACATGACTCGACGAGAAGAGGCAATACTTGGAGGAACGAAAATTTCGCCATGTCCTCAAATGATGTTGCAGCTACGCTGTTTACAGTAGTTCACGTACATAGTTACCACAGCTGCATCTCGACGTCAGGGTGAAACGGCACTGTAGCTGATTCCCAGCAGCAGCTTGGCAACTGAGGTTTCCAATGCTTCGAGAGCGGCTGGAAGCAATGGGAGTCGATTGGGTGCCGTGCTGAGCTGTTGAACACGAAAACTACTCAGGGGATGTGTTGGGGGTGGTAGTATAGGCAATGTCTTTTACGTCACCACCTTTCCGGTTGCAAACGGTTGAAACCGCGTGTTGCTGCCGGTTGCGCTCTTGAGGCTACGGTGTGGGCGAAGATGGTCGAGGTAATTCTGAAGTCCTTGTGCATGGCGGAGGATTTCATTCCGAACCAGGCTTGGCAACAGCTTTGTGAAGGTTGCTTAGTGGATCCTTGAAACAGGTGAACTCGTTCGAGCTTTTCGGCTATGACCTGCTGATGGACTCGAAAATGAAGGTGTCCAAGGGTTTTAATTCTTTGAGTATGCAAATCGTTGAGCCTCATAGAGTCGAGTCGCTTTGTCTGATATGGGAACACAAATACGTTCAAGCGCGGGCTGTATCCACCTTGCGTTCCCTGAGCCGCAGCATCATTGAACTCTGCAGAATTGTCAAACGCCCAACGGTCCATACCGATCAGAACATCTTGCCTACTCGCAGTGAACGGCAGGTTTGGCTTATTGAGGTGAACTCTTCACCTTCTATGGGTCAGGACAATTCGGTGGGCAGCAGATATGCAGTCTTGGTTTGGATGAGTCATGTTGTCACACGATATCTTCTGACGACTTGCACCGTGACTTGCGCACTTGATGGAGGGGGAGGATATGCGCTGCAAGACATGTTCAACAGAGTTCTTTGCACGCCTCGAAGTGGCTACACGAGCCGGGCCGGAGAAGGCTGCTGGGCCCGGAGAGATCGGCATTGATGTCGAGACGTGGTCTCACATCAGCAAGCACAAGGAGATCTTCGTAGGCCTTTGGGATCTGCATGGCTTGAGGAAGAGGGCCGCAAGTCGCAAGCATGATGAGTTTATGTATGTATGTTTTGTTTGCAGGCATGCAGGCATACAGGCTTGCAGGCACGCAGGCACGCAGGCAATGGATGGATGCATGGGTGGATGGGTGGGTGGTTGGGTGGGTGCATGGACGGACGGACGGATGGATGGAGCGGATGGGTAGCTATGAGCTGAGCCTCTTTGGCATTGCTGCGCATTGTTACATTCGGCCTTGGACGGGCGAGACCGAGAGGGAAGCCTGTTCGAGACGCCTCATGTTTGAGCGAAGATCATGGCTCTACTTGGCGCTTCTCAGATTCCTCCAGCCCATGCCGTGCAGGAGCATTTGTTGGATGAGCACGTCAAGCAGCCTCTCATTAGCGTAAGCATCTCAGATCTTTTCTTGCTCCTTGGCGGTCTCAAGGATTGCTGAGTCGAATGGAAAATTGCAAGAGGGAGTGTTGCAGGCAAAGAGGGCTGCCGGAGCTGTGAATGGATGCAACCATGCGCTTCTGCCACACTTTCGAGGATACCATTGACTTGGTTGAACCGCTTGAATTTGACAGGCGCAGGCTGCAGTCCACTACTTTCCTTGCCCTCTGACTGTTACACCTGTGAGAAGTGTCATGCTGCAGGCTGGCAGAGGTTCTGCACCGCCGGGTTGAGACCGCACGGCGTGTTTGAGGGTATCACTGGGGCCTACTTAGCAACCTGGTTGAAGGATGTGGACCGACCAAGAGAGAGGTTTTGCAGGGGTCGTTGTGTTCCTGAGTCTACTTGTAGATTGTGGTGTAAGACACTTGTGCTCATGTTTGCAGGGACAAGCACGGCGGTTCATGCAAAGGCCACGGCATTGTCGGCTTTGCATCGCCCGACGGATTTTCAGCACTCAGTAGTATCTCCTCCCCGTGGGGGCGTTTTTCTTGTGTTTTTGCGCATTGGAAGCCAGAGTCCTTGTGACTGTTGCAGTTTTCGTCAGTTTGCAACCCCAAAATGGCAAGAGTCACGCAGTTTCTGTGTGGCAGCGAGTCTTATTAAGGCGATCAAACCACAATGGTGCTCTACTTCATCATGTGGGCGCAGTTTTCGGACCCAAAAGAGCACAAGAAACGTAGGACATAGCAGACCTCCAAAGTACACGAGCCGTTGAACCCTCAATGATTGCAGTTCGTACGCCGCGAACACTGTCAAGACATATGCCGTTGAACCTTGAAACTTTGAAAACTAGCTTTTCGGCTATGCGCCCTGATCTTTGCACGTTGAGCGACCTCGAAGTAGGGAGCGCCTGTACTCTACTTTACAGAACCGTTGTGCGTGGTCATCACTTTGGTTGTTGATCCTGTTTTCGGCTGCAACAAAATTTGGCCCGAGCCGAACGCGCTAAACCCGTCGAGATTACACTCCGGGTAGGGTGAGTCCGGAGCGGCGGGGGCCAAGAGAACATGCGGTGCGGCTCGTGTGCTGAGAAGACGCACTGCTCCACTCAAGCAACCCCAAACTCTTTCGAGCAGTTGCACACCTCCCCATGGACGATCGAGAGAGGTCACGATCGCCTGGTGCCACCCGCCCGGACGTGGCTTTGATGACAGAGGCCAGGCGCCACAGCAAGAGCCACTGCAGGATGTCAACATGGCACGTGCGCATGAAGACTCCGCATGCAAGACAATCAGAGTTTGTGGCACGGAGTTCTGCTTCAAACACGTCAAAGGAGCGTTGATGCAGGAGGTCCGCACCTAATGGAAAATGTAGAGCCGGCGACGACATCACCATCTACTTTGGGCAATGGACCAGCCTGCAACAGCGGCTGAAGCGTTTGCGTCCGGCAGCGGCTGCCAAAGGCTCGCCACCGGCACAGTGGAAGGACTTCGGCGTCATGCGTGAGGAGGACTCGGCGAGGGCGTGCCGGCTCAAATCGTTTGGCGAAGGTGTTCTATCAGCAGCACAACACTGTTCCGGCGACGCCGGCGCCCTCGAAGCCGTCGAGCTTCCCCGGCGGCCCCGGCACAGCCGCCGTCCATGGAGACTGTCCAGGCGAGGATTGAAAGGACATGGCGTCCGCGGAGGCAAGACCAAGGCCGTGCCGATTGTCCTGTCACCGGCGGCGCTGAAGATCGCGGGCCTATCCCGTCGTCTGTGTCTGTTGCGGTGAATCCGCACGGTGCTGTATGTGCCCAGCGGGTCTCGCCAGAATTTTGCATTGAGCTGCCCCGTTGCAGCCGTTGCAGGAAAGGAGAGAGGCTGGACCGGCATTATCCTGACGAGCTAATCCTGTCATGTCGTCGTCGTCGTCGCTCGTATTGGTTCCCACCTTTTTCTTTGGACGTGTGGTTGTCTCGAGGCGGCCGTTCACCCGTCGGCTGCTTTGCGCAACTGGCGCGAAGGCTCGGGAGGCTAAAGGTCGAAGACCGCTTGCCATCGCTACCCGCAGTCGGAACGTCGGACATCAACTCCGCCGTAGCCAAGGCATCGACTTTGGTGCAGCTAAGGGTCGCGGTGGCGGTGCGCAGGTGAAATGCCACCGTCGGCGGAGGCGCAGTTCTGGGCCTCCCGGTTTGGTGGTCCGGCATGCGTGCGAGGGCACGGGGCTCGAGGCGGGGCTGCTTGACAACAAGAAGCAGGCCAACGCGAGACTGCCCTGGCGAGACAGTTGCCTTGGCGTATCCCTGAGATGGCTTCGGCCTTCTGCTTCTTCGCCTTGTTCCGGCTACTTCTTTCGCCTGGCCCGTGCTTTCTACAAGTGGCCCGATAAAGACAAGATGAGCATGGATCGTGGAGGTCAAAACGATTGCCGGGCTCTAACTTGTTCACCATGTAGGGCTCATGGCGCTTTCGAAGGAGGAAGCAGCCTTTGCTCGGTTTTACAACCGCAAGCTTTTTGACTTCAGGATGTTCCTGCCGCTTCTTGCTGCCTCGCCTTCCAAACCTGCCTATCGTTTTGATTTCCTTGGCGTCGACATCGTCTCTTGCTAGGACTCAAGCCGGGCCTACTTGCATCCTGGGGCGGTGTCACGGGCCCTCGTGTCAGCATGTACTACATCTGGGGGTTACTTAGCTGACCCTCGCGCTGTTCAATGGATGCTCTTCCTCCCGACCTCCTCGCACCACCGCCGCGTCAGTGCATCACACTGGTCAGCTGCCGGGGAGCTGGACTCGGTCACTCCCCGTGCCGTTGGCGGCTTGGTTGCCAAGCCCGCCGCACTTTGGTTCATATGCAGGTGCTTGATCCTGAACCTTTGAGATTGACCGTGCCCTGCGTCGTGTTGCGAATGCCAGCTCTTCGCCTTTCTCACCGAGATCCTCGAGGGCAGCGTCATCAACGATGTTGGTTTGTCCCCGCGCTGGCCTCCGCGTGACTGGTGTCGGCGGGCCAGCCTGAGGAAAATCGCGGCACTGTGCGCTGCCACTGCTTGTTTCTCTGCTTATGTCGCTACCAGGCTCAGCCCGGTGACCGTGAGGAGCCTCTGAGGCGCGACTTCGATGTCTCACCAGCTCAACAGACATGGTGAACGGCGCCACGTGTCGGGCTTGCCATCGTGCCGGAGCGGTTACCACATCCGGACGATGTGCGAGTTTTGAGGTTTTGCGCAGATTGTGGTTCGTGTTGGCAGCCATGGAGTCGGGAACGGTGAAGCGGGATGAAGACATGCAAACCGCATGAAGGAAGCACGAAACAGCATGTCTTTTTGTCCATCCATGTGATTTCTCAGAATGCAGAGTGCTAGGACACTGCACATTCCCTCACGGAACTCTCAGGCAGAAAAGCCAAACCCAGGATCGGTGTGCTGGCTTCGTTGGGGCTTGATTGAGCGACATCACCACCTGCTCGGCGCGCCCGCTCTGGGAGTCTCTGGGATTTCTCCAGGAAGTAAAGCTGACAGCCTTCCGAATTATCCAGTTGCAGTAAAACTGCGAGCATATCAGGCGATGCCGACAGAGCACAAAATGCTCATGACAAACGAAATGTCCGAACGTTTAGATTTTAGATTTGACACATTCCGTGCACCGACCAGTGTACAAGTCGTTGCGTCTTGCGGGGCACGGCAATTGTTGGTACGTGAAAGAAACCGTTTCCACTTCCTGCACAATGCTTGCGTCAAGTTAAAATTCCAGATTCTAGTTTCCCTCGTCATGGGAGTTCTTAGCCGTGGAAGCCAGGCGCAAAGCCGCGACAGGAGCAACGGGTGGCCGGCAGCAGCCCGCATCTCAATTTTCAAAGTGGCTGCACTGTCAGCTGTGGGTGCACCTGCCAATCTGAATGGACGTAAAGACCGAGGTTGGACATTGACCTTCACGCGGTGTTGAAAGGGCAGCTTCCAAGGACATTCGGCTTCCCCGCACCGAGAACAATCCAAATCTTACTGAGTGGTGGACTGTGCGGAACATGTTGTGAGGAAGTATGGTGACATGCCACAATACATGGGCAATTACGAGCGAATTGCACCAAGCGAAGCTTGTCCGGAGCTTCAGCTTCGCGAGAGCGCATTGCTTGTGAAACAATGTCAGTAGGTATAGCCGGTTGCACCCACAAACCCATCGCTGATTCTTGTATTTGCCAAGGGGACAGCATGGTTCGCACGAGGAGCCTTTTATTTAACAGGGTTGGGTCGTCCCCTGAGCTTGTTTGTGGGTCCAGACCAGTGACACATGCCCGGGCGGCAATGGCTGCACAGGTCCTCGAACTGATCACCTCAAGTCAGCTTAGGTCTTAGGTCTCACCAGGCAAACAAAGTCTTCCAAAAACAGGAGACTTTGTTTGTAGGTACCAAACTGACGCGGCTACCAGTCGGTCGTTTGCTTGCCGTCGGGGAAAGTGGGGACAAAAGGGCCGTCCTTACATACCGTCAGGATGGATACATCCTAGTGGTTGGCAAGCCATTTTCGTAAGCCGTAATTTTCATCCACCCGGTCATAACCAACATTGGGGGAGAGCCATCGAATGGCTTTGCAGAGGAAACAGAAACGTCCCAACAGACGTCACACCGTTTGATCGATTCCTGTGGTTTCTTGCTTCGTTCTATTTCGTTCTCACCGGAAAGATGCTGGGAGGGGGCCTCCCCTGACACCGACGACATTACGTTTGTTTTTTGCGCATCTGTGCTGGTGGCTCGCAGCAGTGGCTTGGCTCCATGGCCCAGTTCATCCACAGTTCATGCCTGAACAGATTCTAGTTTCAGATCTTCCGTGTGCTAAGTCAGAGGCTCGGTGCAAACATGAAGGATCTGTTTCTTCAGTAAATGTGCAGCATCTCATCACGCACGCAGGTGCTGTTTTCCCTAGGCACCGTGGTCCGTGGCCGTGAAGACCATGGCTCGGCTAAATAGGAAGAGCTTGTCCTGACTTTGTCCTCTTGTCAGGCAGGCGAACCGGCTTTTGTTCCAAGCTTCAGGTGCATCTTTGCAGCTAGTCGCGACGCAGGCCATGTCGATAGAAATTCAGAAGCAGATCAAGGCTCGTGCTTGGCTTCTTCCAATCAGAAGTGCAGAAGTGCCACCGCTTACATGGCCTTGAGGACAATGCAACGAGCGTCTCGGACTTCTTCTCCGACTTGTACAAATGGACTGAGGTGCGCCCAGTCCTATACAGCTGCGCCCCTCGTGTGTTGGACGCCCAGCACGTCACCTTTGCAGGACCAGGTCAAGGAGGAGCGCAGGAGAGAGATTCGAAAAACAGCTCGGCAAGTGGGGATTGACGAAGCGCAAAAGCTCATAGCACACTCCTTAAACCAAGCATCCCTCAGATTGTGGACTGGACCTCCTGCGGCAGATGCCCTCGTCGCGGCGAACCAAGGCAGCAAAGCCTGCCGAGCGAGATGCAGCTGAAAAGATAAATGACGCGCACGTGGACGGAGAAAGGCAGGGGTAGCTTAGTACACTCAATGTTCCCCGTGACTGGCTGCCCCAGTTTGCGCAGTGAGGCGCAGTGTGTGCTGACGGTTCGGCTGCTGTTACAGGTCCGATCCGATCAAACGAGACAATGCACCTATAGCCCAGTGCGCTTCAGCGCTTCGTTTCTTGCACATATAGCAGCTGCCCACTGATTCCGAATACCGGCATCTGTGAAATGAAGAGGTACTACCATGATTGGGACAGATACGATCCTGAAGCAGAAGTCGGACGGATTGAGGACGAGGTGTCATCTGCATTTCAACAAGTCAAGCATGTAGTTTGAAGGTCGGAGCCCCCAATTCAAGCCTTGGGTGGCCAACAGTCGCAGCAGACAAAGCTGATTGCCTGTGCGAAGGCGCTTCAGTCGCAGCGGGCAGAAAGGGAAGCTCGACAAGCTGGAACCTCGAGCTGATGAAGTTCTGCCACCATTCACCTTGTCTGTGCACGTGTGTGCATGTTGTCCTTCCCATCCAACCCCAGCCGATTTCTCAACTTCTCGAGGGATGAGGTCGAATTGATGGAATAATTCATCAACCAAAGCAAACCCCCCTTCCCACCCTTTCCCTCACCCCTCTCTTCCGCCTCCTCTCCCTGCCTCCATCCTCTGCAACCTCTGCTCGCCTCCTGCCCCCTTCCCCACTCCTTTCCCCGTCACTCGCATGCTCTCCTTTGCTGAGTGGCTGATGCCGTTGGAGAGCAGCACCGGGGGACGAAGGCTATGTGCCTTAGGCCGGAGGGACCGGAAGGAAACATCCGCAATGCAGGGGAAAGGGAGATGGCATCATCACATCCCATCACATCCAGCAACAATATGCCGGTCTGAGATGTGGGTGTTCCGCAGCGTCTTGCTACTGCGTCACGGGGCTAGACATGCCGAGGCAGAGAAGGACCGAATCTTGGACGAAATGGTGACTTGCCTGAAGTTGATGTCGGTCTTCATGCGCGACTGCGTGCAGACGATGTTTTCGGCAGTCATGTAGACTTTAAGCTGAGCGGGAAGGCGCTGAAGCCAAACGGTGACCGGACTCGAACTTCGGCAGCCAAGCCTCGAGTCAAGGCACACCGATGTGGCGGAACTACCAAGAAGGTCAGCTTAGTGCCATGTCCCTCCTGCAGATCGAAAGTCACAGCCCCTATTTGCTAGTGGTTCTGGTGCAGATTTGTGAGCAGTGAATGGTCGTACAGCTCTTTGCCTGAAACAATTTCTGGCATGCTGGCAATGCTGGAAAACGCGATGGATGGCCTCGTCTATGGATCGGCTTGCGCTGTAAGCGATTTGCGGCTTTTGAAGCAATCTTCGAGCATCCTGTGTTCCCAGCGGCCTGAGGTCTTGGGTCCTTTGAGGGCGAAGGGTAAGGGTGCAGTCTGTCATGGCCGTTGGTAGCTTGGGCCCAGTCCGGCGACTTTGCCAAACACATGCGCAAACTATGCTGCGAATTCATTGGGACAATGCTTCCGCACTTCGGTATCCGGATTGTTGGGCGGCGCCACAGGGGCATTCTTTAGATACTGTATTGCCAGAACATGCCAGAACTATCTCAGACTCCGTGAAATGCGGATCAGCACAGGAGGATCGAAACTTTATCGGTCTGTTGGGCAGCTGAAAGCATCCGACAAGTCTTCGAAGAGTTCTTGAAACTGTTGAACTCTCTGTTCAGCAATCGACCATCGACCCACCGGACCCTAACCTGACCGATTTTCCTTTGGGAGCAACACACGGGAAACCCCGCGGATGTCATGCTTCCCGGCGCGCTTTCTGCCTGTGCTCTAACCAACGTTTGCGCGCGGTGCGACTCGCTGCACGCCAGGCTCTCTCCAGGCACACATAAAAGCCTCCCGGTACCTAATCCAGGCAGGAAAAATGCGCCTCCATGTTCCCTGTTGCCTGGTCTTCAGAGCCCTGTGCAGTTGCCACATGCAGCGCACACCCTCCGTCACAGCAGGGTCCTCGCCTGGTCGCAATCTGAGCGTAAAATCAGAGTTGCAAGAGCTTGGTTCAAGTCGATTGGCTGTCGGCTCTCCGTCGCTTTACTATCTCCTGGACCTGTCGACGAAATTGTTCCGTTTGTTTAGTGGGGCACTGCAGGGCATGACTCATGCTTCTCTACAGCACGATGATGGGAGGTGTGCTGGAGTCGCCAACCTGCAACCAGCGCAACACTTGCTGCACTACAAAAGGCTTGGGACCTGCTCTCCACGGGAAGAGGTCCAGCGCAAGCGGCTTGGCCTGCTTGGCCAGTGCATCAGTGTGCGGTTTGCGCACCAACAAGTAGTCCAGTTGCGTGGCTGTGTTACTGAGCTTTGCACAACTACGGGGCGGACTTTGCTAGAGGTATTACAAAAACAGCGGTCCGTGCAGCCGCCCCATTCTCCTGTGTTCTGCCCGATACTTTGCGTCCCAGTAGTTCACTAGTTGTGCACCAGTGCCCTCACTGTTGCGGGCCTCCTGCTACGTTCTGACTCGCCCACCTGCATGCGTGTTTGTGCCCGCGCTTCCTCATCCATGTATGGTGGACGTTCGACAGTTCTGACCAGTATGTTTCGCTCCCCTAGGTCTGCAGTCTGTTGCGAACTTCTTGTGACTGAGTTGTCGGACTGCTGTGGGACTTGGGACCCAATCGCCTGTTGGTTCGTCATCATCGTAGCAGCTTGCATGAAAGACCGCGGTAGCAAAACCGAGAGCAACGCATGCCCCATGGCGAAAGAATGAGCTACGTACAAGCTCAAGCTCCAGCCGAGACCTGTAGCAGTAGCAGTAGCAGTGGTGTGCGCGTGCAGCGAAACTAAGAGATACAAGTGATGACATTACAATGACAAGCAGGTCTCCGTCCGCCGCAGCGGTCGCAAGGTCGCTCCGGTAGACCTCGCAGCCCCTCGCAAGGACGAGGTGTTGGACGCAGAAAGCAGTTTGCGGAGTCCGTGGGTCTTCCTGTTTGCTCTTTTAAAGGCGAACCGCTTGTTCGGGGCGGGCCGATACAGAGAGGCACGTCCTTGAAGTTGATGTCTTGGAGAGGTCGACAAGCAAGCCCGAGGCCATCGCTGCTTACACTGCTGCCATCGACTGCCTGGACAAGTACGAGCCTCCAGAGGAAAGGGCGCAGCTAGCAAGATTCGGAACAAATTTGCAGCTTTGAAGGGTTCGAGGATGTACTGCCATCGATGAAACGGCAAAATCGACAACCCCCGAAGCCTCAAGGAGGATTGCAAGGTTTTCCCTCGCATGAACGAGGCAACACTCGTGCATCTTGCTTCATTGTTTAATTTTCTAAGCGGTGAAATATTCATTGAGCACGAAGTTATCCGAACATCGCGAATGCTGAACTTCTTGTCGTGCATGTTGTCGATATCCAGCTGTCTCGTCAGCTCAGTAACAGCATGGATGCCACTCAGAAGCAGCATGCCTCGTAGCTAGGAAGCTTGCAGTCAATCCAATCTGGTGAGACGCCCCCGAGAGACCATCACGCAGACTTGGGGATCTTCAATCGTTACGTGAATATTTACTGCCAATCGAGAACTCTGCGCATTGCCTGCAGGCAGGCTCCAACTTCGGCGGATGGCTCAGGAATGTTCAGACACGGGCCGGGCTCGGCGGGCTCGGGCAATCCTGACCGGTGACAAAGGTGACAAGGTTCATGAAGACGGTGCTGGCGAGAAGGAGGCGATTGCTCTGAAGGCACAGAGCTACAGCTGGTGGCAGCTGCAGCTAGCGGCTTGCCGCGACCGTGCGCTCTCTTGCGAACCCTTCAGGTTGCTCTGCTGGCGAATCGGGCACTGGCCTGCCTAAAGTTGGAGGACTACAGCAGATCTGTTGGGCACTACAGTTCTCCTTTCATCTGCTCTCCCCTCTCAAGTTTTCTGCAGCTTGAGCCTTGGCTCTGCTAACATTTGAGATTCAGTCATTCCCGCGCGGCTACATGGATTCTGGATCATGTACGGCATGACGGCAATGTAGCATTGTTCATGGAGCAGTCAAGTTGGATCTGTATCTGCTGATGATGGTGCACTTCCTCAAGCCCATGGCAAATGGGTCGAGTCGGCCAGCAGCGGACCTAGCGCGTGACTGCTTTTCGGGACTTGGATGTGTGAGAAGCCTCTTGCTTTGCCAGTTGCACCTTCGCCTGCCTTCGTTGACTGCGTGTTCGACCTTGTGCCTGAGATGCATGCAGACTGCATGCATCTCGCGGTTCTCATTGTAATGCCCTGCGCTGCCTTGCAGCGTCAGCGGGAACTGAGGCAGATGTTGGTCTGAAGCTTGAGTTGATTCTTACACACCAGCTATGTATCCAACCTCCTTGGATGTTGAGGTTTTCTTCTTGCCGACACTGCTTGTCGTGGAGGCATCGCCGAGGGCCAGGGCTGAACAGTTCCTGAAGGCAGGGGCCGAGTTTGTGACGAGTGCAGCTGAGGCACAAGACACCTTCTGCACGCCAGAAAATTTGGGCTCTACACTCAGCCTGTAACGACAGTGGGCGATTGATCTGTACGTCTGCTAATTGGCAGGTCGCTTTCATGGCTTCCCAGAGCAGCTGGATGCCGGTATTTATTGGTCTGGCACCGATACGCAGAATGAAGTGAGAATCGGCTAGCATCTTTCCCTGTGGAAGGTTTGGCCCCGATGACCAATCGGAGAAGGACACCAGACCTGCAAAAGCTATAAAGAGATTATCCAGCCTGTTCACGACAATAGACCCGCGGAGCTCTTTTTAATGAAGTGTAGTCGCACTGTCGTGCACGACGGTTGCGCCCGGCAGCGCAGTGTTTTGAGATAACCCATTGCAACGTGATCCAGCCGCAGGCCACCGGATACCCATCAAAGTGCTTTTCTCGGTGAAGTGCATGCAGGGCTGCTCGGAGTTCTGCCTACGTTGTGAAGAGCTTCTCAGACGAGGTTCTATGATCCGAGCAAGCCCACAATGTTGTACTTCCATGGATGGACGGGTGAAGGCGAAAAAACCCTTTCCTCGGGTTTTCGGCCTTGCGTACGGCGGGCTTTGCAACAGGTCAGGGTTGGACAAGCCGATGCAAGCGTCTCACAACGAGATGACAGGGCCTTACTGACTTCCGTCTTTCAGCGGTTCTAACCCTGCAATGTTCAGACATGGGTTCAATTATTTGTTCAGGTCATCCAGACATTTGTCCAAATGGAGGAGGTCAACCCTTGGTGAACTCCTGGCTTGATGAAGGCGCTTCTGCACAGCTTGGGTGGATTGTCGCCCCTCCGGGAACACAGATGTTGGCGGATGGGATCGGATTCGCATATGCCATGGTTTCCTATACAGGGAAGGTTTATGCCACTGCGAGCAGGTGTAAGTCATCGGCATCATGATGTACGAGAGTTTCAACATTTGCTCTGGCAAATGCAGCAGAGTCTCTTCGCAACAGGACCAACCATAAAGAAGCAAACGACGTCCACAGGACGAGATTATGAGGGGGAGGACGGAGCAGGAGGAGGAGGAGGACTAGAAGGAGGACGGGTAGGCGGAGGAGAGGCGACACAGGAAGACGAGGACGCAGATGGGGAGACTGATGATGATGGTGATGGCGCTGATGGTGGTTCCATCATGTTTTCTGAACGCATTGGCAGTGTGTGCCTCTGGTGAGTAGTAGCCATGATGGGCGACTTACGGACGGGTGATGCATGGATGATGGAAGGTCGTGGATGCTGTCCTAGTGCCATGATAGTGATGATTTTCTGAACTTGCGGTGCAAAGCCAGCGGCACAGCCGTGGTACCGGCGTGATGTTCGTGACTGTCGTCATCGTGACCTCGCCTTGGAACACTCAGATTGCGAAGTTGAATCCATCAGCCGAGCTACGATGGGCCATGTTGGTGACATTCGTCATCTCTGGACCCTCCAGTCGCGAAAAGGACAACCCTTTCAATGGGATTGCCCACTGGAGATGCAACGCCCACCAGGTCTTCGTAACAGTCGTTGACGGTCGAGATTCACTTCGGCCAATATCGAACACGCCATCTGTCTGGTAATCCTGCCCCGGCATGTCTGGCACATGGTGTGTGCGAGAGTCGTGACTTTTGAGCTTCGTCGTGTTGCAAAAGCCTTCGCAAGGGTGATGATATCGATCAACAGGATGAACCGCTCTTCTAAGTGCTTCATCTGGGTGACATGACTCTGAAGGGGTCTCTGCTGACCTGGGAGGTTGGAATGTGGGTTTCTTTTACTGGGACCAGTTCGCTGACGAGGCCAAGAAGATTTTCTAAGACTTTGGAGGTGTGCATCGGGTTCCAAAGTCCGCTGAGGCATGTGTGCGAGATGCCGAGCAGAAGCTGTGGTCCGGGGCTGAGGTGGTTGAGCGGGGGCAGTCAAAGACTTAAGCAACTAGACGATTCATCTATGATCTCTGCTGAAGAGGGCTAGCGTCAGTGTGACCTCTAGCGCATGGCTCCCTGTATGCCCGCATGTGACTTACCGTGTGCAGAGGTTCGACAAACGAGGAGATGGATTCCGGTGGAAAGCATACAATCTTTCATCAGGTCCGAACTAGAACCCCGATAAGAGCATCAGTGTTTTTATTACGGCAACTGCCAGGTGTGGCTTATTACCAGAATTACAACGAGGCCAACGATTGGGGGCTCAGACATTCTTCAGATGGCAGAATCTCCATCTGCGCGGTGAATCATGAACATGTCGACTGGTTTCAGCCCGGATGCAGGCTTTGGATGAGCTATCTGTGGCAGACATGTGTGCCACGGGCTCAGCCGTAGAATGCCGGGAAGAGCAGGCAAATGCAGGCCCTGTTGGCATGAGAGCAACGGATTGCGGCAGGCCTTGAACGTCAAGAAAGCAATGGGCTCTTTTGGTGGTTCGCAAGTGTTCTGCTCTGAGTTTCGCTGCTGCACAAGGCGCTTCACATAGGCAACGAAGAGAGCAGGATCTCCTTTCAATTCTCGAATAGCTGCGCTTGACGAGCTTAGAGCTCTCCGAGGCGATTTGTTGGCCACTCCTTGGGCGCACAGTTGGCCGTGCGATGTGCTTCGATGCTTCATGTCGAGGCATGTGTAGACAGCCTTTTGCTTGGGGCTGTTGTGCAACATCCACGTTTTTCTTCACAAGACCTCTGCAGACAAGTGCGTGTGTGTGTGTGTGTGTGGGATCAGCCAAGACTCCTTTGTCGCCAAGGGAGTAACGAGTGAGCAACCGGTAGAACCACGGCGGGCTGTGGGTTTTGTGGGGAGGTCTGCATCGTGGAGAACAGATGAACGGAACCGGCAACATATCGCACAGCGTCGCAGGACCATCCCGCAGCTCCTGGAAGGTTGTCCTTGCTTGGAACTTAGCACCGCGTGATTTGTGCAAACCTGCGCTGCCTGGCGTCCCGAGGCTGGAGCCGTACTTCAGCAAGCACAGCGGCAATCTCAAGCCTGTGCAGTGTCCTGCTGTCCTGCATGTTGTCCCATGCTCCGCAACGGTCTCGATGTCGGTGTCGGTGTGCGCTTCATGGAGACTGCCCCTCGAAGCCTCAAGACTTCTGTGAGGGCTCAGGATGTTGCAATTCACTTTGAATAAGTAAGTTGGTGCAGCCGTGTAGCCATGCGGCTCTGCATAGGTAATGACAGTTTAATGACATGGTAGTCATGCCGGGGAGATGAAAAGCCCGAAACGGTCGTTGGTGGACGATGTTTCCACCGGTCCTGCTTTCCTTGCTGTCCCTCGGTCGACTCAGAGTGGTGGGAGAGGATGGGGGAAGTGGAATTTGTAGCTAGTGGCGCATCACCACCTTGCTGAGGGAGGCTACAACCAGGTCGTGTTTGTAGAAAACTTCATGAAGCGCATCAACTCACTTTCGCATGCTCCGGCATGCACTGCTGTGTTGAACTTTACAGCCTCCGGAAAGCAATGATGTAAGCGGATGCCCAGTGCCCGCCTCTCAGAGCAACGTGCCTGCAAGAGCACCTCTCCGGACTCTTCAGGTCACTTGTTCTTTGGCTGCCACGGCGAAGTGACGACCCACGAGGGAATGGGTACGCTGCTTGAGAGTGTGTCCGTGTGATAACCAATTTTTCCGACGGTCGCATGCTGTAGGTGATTTTGCCGAACGGCTAACGGTTGAATATGTTCAGAACATGTGGAAACGCCTGGGCCCCGGAATCATATGCATGAAGGTATCTTCATCCTTTGTCATGCCTCGAAACGCAGTTCTGCTGCAGGAAAAAAGGTCGTCACCGATGTGTACAAGAGCTCGTTATTGACAGAGGCATCCGTGCACAGCTTGTAGACAAGATTGCATGCAGCAGCCATGCCAGAAAGCTCCGGAAGACTCGCCCTACAACGAGCTCAAGAACATTGCGACCATCTGAGATTTTTCCGTTTCTTGCAGGCTGCGAGCGTTGCGTCAACCGGGCCACCGAAGAAGCCTTTTGTACCGGAACAAATGCCAGCGGTGTGCAATGGTTTACATGCTATCGCTTCGGGGTGGGTCTGAGGAAAGCTGAATTTGCAGTTTAGGCTGGGGTCACGGAACGGAGTAGGCTTCCAAAATGTTCCGTACCGATGCACGGAACCGGCGTAGAGCCCTTTGCACGCATGCACACCTGTGTTCACGTGTGTGGCTTGAACGATGTGGAGCACTTTGTCTGCGCAGAGGAGCGATACATGTTCGGATGTGCAGAGAAAGAGCGTAGTAAGTTGAGCCTGACATGGATCAGCACGGCAGGACATGTTCCATGCCCGTCCAATCAACGTATCGCGATTGAAGGGAAACAGCGATGCTGGGATTGCGGGGTGCAGAAGTTATCTGATAAGAGCTCGGATTCTCCTGCTCTTCTTTGATTCT